CTTTTGGTATTGTTGTGACATAATAAAAATGTGAATTTTTTTTTGGTTGTAGTTTATGCAGATCAGACACATAAAAATTTCCGGTATAATCCTCACATGTATCATTATTTCCTTCACATACGCCACATTTATCTACGAATGTAAAAAAATTTAATTAATTTTAAACGCGCAACCACACTTTTGACAAAATATGTTCGCAAGTGAACTAAGTAAACAAAGCACACTGATATAATAGATAAAAAGAAATAAGTTTCTCAAAATTATATTTACCTAGTTTGGCGAGCGAATTAAGTTCATTGTCGCAACCTGCTGGACGGCAAATGCCATTTACACACTTATCAAAACTGTCAAAGGAACATGTTGTTCCGTCTTTTACCTTATCAGAAAGTTGAAAGTATGCACTATTGTCTTCGAGACGGCAAAACAGTTTGCATTTATCCTTTAAAGAAACTAAATATAACCCACTAAATTATTAAACAAAACATAGGTGTTCAGTATAAGCTTACGCCCATATTTGGGTATCCATTTTGCTGGTGTTCTAACACCTTTGATACTCAAATCTCGTCCATTCATATCGTAACATTGCTGTTCTCGTGAGTCCATAGAACCGGGAGGACAACTTTGTGCATTACATGAGCGGTACTTTTTACGACTACCGGCGCAATACTTCCCCCCATTTCTGGGAAGTGGATTATTGCACTCACGTTGAGATTCTTGCACTCCCCCTCCACATGTTAAACTACATGGTGTAAATGAACTCCAATGACCCCATCCTCCATTAACAACTTGTAGCGTATTTCCCTCACGAGAAACGCATTCACCTTTTTGGCACCAATAACGATTGTTTCGGCACGGAGTACCATCAGCCCATGGTAAATTACTTGAATAATAACTCCCTTTAAAGATGCACCACAATTGCTTGCATTCATCTCCTCTATTTGTAAATACATAGTCTCTGCCGTCTATTAACTGACATTGCTGATCCAATGAATATATCTCACCAGGTAATTTGGTGTTGTAATTTTTAATTGATACGGTACGTGTATCCTCTAAACATGATGTATCTTCTTTTCTTTTTGGTTGTGGTGATAAGCGTAGAATATAACATAACAATACCAAATAAAATGAACATAAAAATTATTTAATTAAGTAACTGTTTAGTATAATATTTGACAAAGAAAGTTTAGACTTACTCTAGAAATTCTGATACATAATAACGTGAACAATCCGACCAGGACCAAGGGTGAATATCTTTACCCATCACACTTGACATAATATGCTTTCTTTTTGTTCCCAGCTTATTAAACATTTTGCAACGATCGTCATCATCATGCGGCATATTTAAACTGTAAAATGGATATTAAACATATTTTAGTTATCATGCATTAAGATTTTGTTACATATGATCGTACATATGACCTAGTTCATGTGCAATGGTAAAAGCAGCTGGTAATCCATTGTCCTGTACAATTGAGCAGGAGTGCCGCTTACAAACAGTACCCAACTCAGCTAAACCCAGGGTGTCACACATCGCTGCACGTTCATTGCGACATATCTGATTTCTGGCAATAGAAAAAATATAAAAAAGGAAACAGTGAGAAATTCTGTTGGGTCAATTCTAAATAAGAAAAACTTTACCGGGTTATTAGCATTGCTGTATCGTAATGATATTTGCCGTTTGAAAGGAAATGACAAAAGCTCTTTAGCAACGCAGAAGCAGAAGTAGCTAAAATTTGAAATAAACTCTTAAAATTAGAAGTTATTTGATAGCATATATTGTATAAATGTCATTTCGTAACTTGTTGAAGTCTTGCTATTCCAAATAAGAGTAAATTTTTTAAATAAATAAATATTTTTTATTTTTCATTTTTAAATATTTTCCATTTTGTTTATGCAATCTAGCACTCAAAGATGTACAGATCATATGAAAACTTCTAAATGTTGCATTTACAAGATTTATTTTATGTTCGCGTTTCTTTTAATTTTTTTCTTCTAAATGGTGGATTAACTATTCAACTGGTACTACCCAGTCATATACACTGAAAAACACTGAAAAACAGTGTATATGACATACATACATATATCATATACCCGTATTTATGATTAAAGCTTTCTTTTCCGTTTTCAGTCAAAATATTTGATTTTTCATTTAATAGGAAAAAGGAATATAAAAACTGTTAAAAATATAAAATAAGATAGGTTCTATATAATGTTGAGTTTATCAAGTGTTTAAAAAAGTAGAATATTGAAGTGTTTGATAAAATACATTATAAAAAACTGTTTACATGCTATGAAGCTAGTTGTTTTGAATTAATATAACATATAACTTTAATATAACATAATATATACATACAAATAATTGTAATAATTGTAATATTGAATATTCAACTTACTTTTCATTCTCATCAAATCATCTTGTATTATCAGAATCTTGGCAACTGATATGTAAATGGAATTACCTATACTTGCATCCGAAAATATATTAGATACTATTGATATTAAGGTTAAAATATATGAATGTAAGTCTTCTTTGTGGAACTCGTTCATAGAGCGATCAACTGCAATTAATACTTCCATTGTAAATAAGTTTCGATCAACATAGTTTCGTTTTTTGCGTAACCGCGTTTTGTTAATGTGTTGCTCTAACACTCCTAAATCCATGTCAAGATTACCGGAGACAGCATGTCTACCGTTCCGACTTGAATGTCGCCACACTTTGTGTACAATGTCTGCCGAATCGTCATTCGTTTGGTTGACCGGTTGAATCAGTAACGTACCAAAACTTGTTTTTATGTAACCAGTCTGTGAATAGAATTAAATGTATTCAGTATTCATATACTTCTAAAGACTTGTTTTGCTAATTTACACATATTATGTATGTAAGTTTTAGCAATGAAATTAATCTAATTAAGATTTTTTTTACAATTATAATTCATAGATTCGGTCTATTTTTTAATGCATTTAATCGATTCTTGCAATTTAAACCGTAAGATCGTGAAATATGTATGAATCGCGATGGCAAGAGAATAATATTAGTGAAGCCTACCATGCCATGGCACAATGAAACAGCCACTGTTGATTGGATGTCATCTTGTATAACACCTTTATAGTAGCAGCCAAGATAATGCTCCTCTCCTTCTTCTTCTTCTTCAGTTCTATTATTTAAAATACGTATTACCTGAAAATCAAGAAAATCAAGAAAATCTTGCATTTAAATTTTTTTCAACATTAAAAATATGTAAATTGCATTAACATACTCTAAATGTTTTCGGAGGAATAAAAGAGGTATCCTGATGTAAAAGCATGTGAAATTTACGACCAAATGCATTAAATATATATTCGGGATGTGGATCCCAAATCTGACTAGATTTGCTTCGAAATGTGCCCGTTTTGCTAAATGCAGAATAGTAATCTAAGAATGAAATTATATTTAATTTATTTTTAAGGAATTTCAAATTGCATGCTGACCTTTTGTTTTTAAATTTTTATTATTATTATGTTTCCGTTTCGATTCATACAACATATCATCTGCATTCAAACCGACATTATCTACTTTTGTTAGTGTCACATAATCACTTATAAAGTTATCCGGAATGCTATTATTAATTTCATCTATATCATTTTCTATATCTATTTTTTCATATAAGTAATTTCAGAAAATTTAAAACAAATCTTTTCAATTAGTTTCTGATTTATTGTAATTAAGTTAAAGTGTATGCATACCCTCATTTGTCCAATCCACATCGCTTATTAGCGAGTGATTCATGAAATCCGAGTAATTGATTTCTGAGTAATCGGGTTGTATTTTTCGCAAAATTTGCTTATCGTTTTTAGTTTTACTACCTGGTAGTATAAACACATAAACAAGGAAACAAACTAGTGCCACTATGCAAGCCGCTTTTATGTATCTACTTATATTTTTTTGCTCAGACATATCTTTGCATTTGTTTTTGAAGAACCACCACTCAAACCTTTTTTTAAGCACCAGCTAAAAAGAGAAACATATACAAATATATAATTTAATGGATTATATTTGTTTTTAAAGTATATTATAGCTTATCTACTAATCATTTTATTGATAAACTCATCGTATTATCGTATCATCGTATGAACTGTTAAACTACCAATTTTAATATAATCTAGATCGACCGATCAATTATACTCATTACCGCATACTAAAGAGTAATGAGTTCAATCCTCTTAGTTAGAACTAATCAGGATATACATATATACTCTAAAATGTTTAAGTCAGTCAAAAATAAAAACAGTTATCCAAAATAATATAAAATTATGGTTCTTGTGTTTGCGGTCAATCAGTTTGCGTTTGTGTCAATAAACTCTTTTCATATTTAAAATTACTGTTAAATTTAAATATAAATTTTTCCAATAAATATTTAAAATTTTTAAGACTTTTGTTTTGCACATATCTCAGAGAGTAATTGACTAAGATTAATTAAGATTTCATTTTGTTGTCTCATTTACAAAATATGGGTTATCGTGAGTCTGATACGAGTATGTAAGTTTTTACATACTGAAAGTAACAGTACTCTCTCCATTGTGAGCCTTAGTCTCTAATATATTTTGATCAATTTCTAATTTTTGGTTTTAATTATTTTACTTATGCAAAAGTTCCATCTGAAAGCAAACAATTGTTATAGTACTTTGAAGAAATAAGTATCGTGTAAACGTGCCTAAAAATGAAAAGCAAATATTGTAGAAGAATATGATGAGACTATTTTGCACATTGTCAGCATATTGATAATAATATAAAGACATATGGTATTGTAAAATAATAAACATTGGTCTATACATTGGTCTATAAGTTCAAGACGGAAGTGTGCCTTCGAAACGAAATTAAATTTACTCCTACGCGAGTTTAAATTCCAAATGATAGAAGAACAACACAACAACACAACAACACAAATTTTGCATCCCAAGTATGTTCTCCCTGCTTAGAGTTTCATTAAAACGCTCATGGAACACGTTTTTGCAATAATTTTGAACGGCTACATTTCTGATGCATGTAAAAATGCATCTCAAATAACTCACGTAGTATTAAGGAAGAGTGTGAACTACGGGTACTGCATTCTTATGCTTTTTCCATTAAAAATTTCCAAGCATAAACCGCACAACCCAGTTGAGCTCACAACCCAGTTGTGATCTTAAAGGCACTTCTTACAAAGCACATCTGTCAATTAACATTTTTGAGCTATATTTTAAAAATATTAAATACTTTAGATACTGGTTATGAGTTTTAGCGAAAAATTGAAATACTCGTACATATCAAATTTATGAGAACGCAGCTTTTCCAAACTTGTTTTTTCATTTCGAAAAACTTTAAAATTTGGATCGTCGAATTTTAACAAAACTTGTTTTTTTGTTTTTTGTGTATTCGAAATGTTTTTACAGTCTCGTATTTTCATTAAATGATGTGTTTTAATATTACATTCTAGACTCGGAAACAAAATTTCCGTATTTATCAATTCTGTCTAACTCTTTATCGACAATAGGTCTACTTGCCATGTTATGCAGAAAGTCATTGGCAGGTCAAAACTGAAATTGTTTTTATGAGAGTGAGAAAAAAAATGTTAGTTTAAATTTGGTCATGGTGATAAGGCTTTGTGTACTTCATCACATTGGTCAATTTGTTTTTGGGAGCAAATTACTACAATTGTCATACATTTTGGGGAAAACATGCCAGGAACCACTGGCATTATTTTATAACAGCTAATAATCAAATTCTCATACTTTCGGATTTGAAAGAAAGCCATATAACATAATTTTGTAAGTATTGTTAACAATTATTATACAATAACATAATAATAAATTGACATTTTTATATCTTCCATGAGTACCCAAACACAGCGTAAAACTGCCATGACCATTCGTCATATGAATATCTACATAACAGGCCCCTAACATGAACTTTAGATTCAGTTCAAAATTTCTCACATCAAATCAAATGAAATTAATTTGATTTGGCGATAATTTGCTCTTTTGGGAACTATACTTGAATTTTCTCGACAAGAGAAGCGAGAAAGAGAGAGGTTAAGAAAGAGAGGAGAGTTAGGAATTGAAAGCACGGTTGCCACTTATGGTACTTTAGTACCAAAATTGGTACTTTTTTTTTTATTTTTTTCGTTTGGTACTCATGTTTAAAAAAATGGTACATTTCTGACGACCCAACTTTATTGTGGATATTTCCAATTAATTTTTTTTATAAATGCAACTTTGCTCTATTTTATATTTTTTTCATTTATAACACTATGAAAAACACAGAACGAGAAAACAAAAAGGTCCAAAAAAATTTTGGACCTTTTTTTACAGAAATGGTACCTTTTTAAACCAATTTTGGTACAGAAAAAAATTTTCAAGTGGCAACCGTGATTGTATATGTGTATGTTGTTTTTAAACTCTCTTACAATCGTCTGGATCGAGAAAACACAATTAAGCATAAATTGTTTTCACTTGAAATCTTTTGAAATAATTTATTGTTTTAATAATCAATTATTCAATTATTTTTAATAATAATTTTATTTTCTAACGAGCTAACTGGTTGGAAGTTTAAATTTTTGTTTTTCCTTTGTGGTTACTAGCATTATACCAGGATTATTGAAGTAATCTTCCAATTATGCACTATTGAATTCGTTGCTTTGACTGCCTTGGAATGTGAATGCACAGATAAGTATTCTTTTGAGAAAAGGTTTAGGTTTAAATTTAAGTTTAAGTTTTCAATATATAATTCTTCTTCTTTAATTGTTTATTCAAAAATTGAATGTTATACAATCATATAAATTACAATATGTTAGAAATATCGTTTTTGAAGTTCTCTCTGTCTGTAGCAGTATGTGTCAAGTCTTCAATCGTTCTTAACTCAGTCCAGTGTCGGATGTTCCTCAACCAAGACATTTGTTTTCTTCCCACGCCGCGTTTGCCTTCGATTCTGCCTTTCACAATTAGTTGCAGCAATTCATATTTTGGACCTCGGTTGATATGACCAAAATAACTCGGTTTTCTTATTTTGATGATTTTTAGGAGTTTTCTATCTTTTTTTTTTTAATCTGGTTAGAACTTCTTCGTTTGAAACGTTGTCCGTCCAAGAAATCTTTAGAATACGCCTGTAGCACCACATTTCAAACGTTTCGATTTTGTTCATTGTTTGAATTTTTAAAGTCCAAGATTCCAAGCCATATAGAGAATGGACCAGACTTATCATTTAACGTAGCGAATACGTAAGTTGATGCTGACATTGCTATTGCATGTCAGAGTTTCTAGCCATCTCTATTTGACGTTTGATTTCTTAATCTGATGTCCACTCTTCATTTAGCCCGCAACCAAGGTATTTAAACTAAGCTACTCGTTCAATAGCTTTAGTTCCAATTTTAATGGAAGCATCGTTGTATGGTAGTCGTTTTTACTGATAATCATGTACTTGATTTTTTCAATATTCATGGATTGGCCAAAATCTCTACTCTTCTCATTAACTTTTTCAAAAAGAAGTTGAAGATCGTTTATACTATATGTTATATGTTTTATAAGCTATAAGCTATATGTTTTATACTATATTATATGTCTTATAAGCCTATATTCACTGCATTTTCTAGTGGTTTTGGATTTAGGTATTGCAATGAATGTAGATTTCAGCCAATCTTGAGGATATACACCACTGTCGTAAATACCATTGAAATACCATTCTAGCACAGCTAGGTTTTTGTTGTCCAAAAGCTTGATGATTTCTGTTGGTATTTCATCTGGACCAACTACTTTTTGTTGTTAGATGATTTGATGGCTTTTTGGATCTCATCTTTGTTTATTGACCATAGTTCTTGATGGTGATCGTTAATGGTGGTGCTCTTGGTGTTATCTTCAAATAACTAATTGATAAATTTCTCCCAGATATTTGACTTTTCATGGGCATCAATTACCAGCTTGCAATTGTTATCAAATAACAAGCCTTTGTTCTTTTTCCGTCTACACCCCAGATGCTAATTTAATTTTTTTGTGTAAATTGAAGTCATCGTGTAAGTTTTGCAGTCTTTCTATTTCGCTACATTCTTGTTCCAGCCAGTTGGTCTTTGCTTGACTAATTTAAGATCTGATAGTTCTTTTGAGATCTCTATATTTGTTGTAATTTTTGTTCTTATAGGATCGTGTCTCATTCATTAGTTCTAAAATCTCTTCAGTCATCCATATTGCTTTAGCTTGATGTTCTTTAGTAGGCAGATTGTTTGGTGCATTTGCAAGGATTTCTGCAGTTTGATTCCAAATCTCCAAGTAGTTTGTGTTTTGGTGATCTATGTTAGCAAGTTTGATGTTAATTTCATCAGAGATATTATGGCTGGATGTAGTATTTTACAGTTGTTCCAAATCGAATCTTCTAGCAGCCTTCCGTTTTATAGATATTGTAATTTTGATTCTAATCTTTGCCTTAAACAGGTTTTGGTCTGACAAAACGTCAGCTCCTGTGTAGGTGCTTGTTCTGATGACTGATGATGCGAATCTTTTGCTTATCTGTATAAAGTCGATTTGGTTGTGTACTATGTTACCTTTACCATCTTGATATCACTTCCAAGTTTAGAGCCTTCTCGGATGTAGCCAAACCATGTGTTCGTTATTTTGAAGTTTTCTTGTTGGCAGAATTGAATGAGTTTGTCACCCCTGTTGTTCCTTATTCTAAGACCATGCTCACCAACTATTCCCTCCACCGCACCTGATCCTACTTTGGAATTAAAGTCTCCAATGATGAGATTCAACTCATGGGATTTCGTATGTTTCAGTAGTTCGGAGATTTCTGCGTAGAACTCGTTGCTTTCTTCTTCCGTGGATTCTGATGTGGGAGTGTTGACTTGTATGTTCAGTGCAAAAGGTTTTGGGTCAATCTTCAAAAGCATTGTTCTGTCGGAATTCGGGATGAATACCGTCACTGATTCTGCGATGTTTTTTGAAACAATAATTCCGACTCCCTTATTATGCCTGTTACTGTCGTTGCCTGAGACATTTATGATTTTGTCTTCAGATTGAAATTTACTTGAGCTTTCGCTCACTCCTAAGATATCAATGTTGAGCCTTTTCATTTTTCTGATGGTGTTGGCCAATTTACCTGCTTCATAGAAGCTTCTCATATTCCATGTTGCAATTTTGTAAGTGTTTTCTTTGTTTTACCTCCGGTCTTTTAGCACCCTCTTTTTGCTGGAGACTAAGGCCGTTGATATCTTGTACTTTTCATATGATTATTCATGGGATGAGGACTTCAGTGGTTTCCCATTGCCTTCTGTAGGGTTTAAAGTTTTTCGTCTTAAACTCAGCTGCTTTCAATTTAGAGAACAGACGCTCTTTCTAGCTCCCAAAATGTTAGGAACAGACATTGCGTTTTGACTCGCGAATGGATATGGGCATTTTTTCCACGACGATTAAGGTTTTACGTTTTTTCCAGTTCTCGAACCAATTCTTATTTTTATAGGATCAGAATTAGTACGATTTCACATATCAAAATAGACTTTCTCAATATATATGCTATTGATTACTATGTTTGTTTTCAATCAACCAAGGGGCAACTCATTTTATGCTCAAAATATATATCAATATCAAATGAATTAATCAGTGGAAGATAATATCATGATTTAACTCTCTTAAGCTGGAATGATGGTTTCTTAACCATAAAGAACGCTTTTTACAACATGTAATTTTGTATATAACTATAAAAACAAATTAATTTCTACTACAACTTCATTAATCGTGAAAATAGTAAGGTATTACTGAAAAATATGGGCTTCATCAGTTACTGTGAACAAACAGTTAATACCATAACCATAAATAGTGCATATGTTGACCATTACTTATGGGACACATTGTTATTAATTTATAGAAATCATATAAAAAGTGTTAATGTCAATCTTATAGTACATTTTTAGACAAATATGTTATCATTTCCGGTAGTTTCAATTATATTGCATAGGTACTATAAAATACACATAAATATTCACATTTGGAATTGCAATGAACTGAAGAACATCATTTAGTCTAAGTCAGAGTTTCTCAAATTTTGTTCTTTGCTAGGTGTCACGGTTAGCACCACCACCATATTCTTGTTTTCGGAATATGTTTTGGTTTAAAGAACCCTGTCTTAATGACAACAGTTCTACCTAAATATAGAAAAAGGTTTGGTTTGACATTTGTTTCTTGATTTCATTTTGATTATTATATTATTATTTACTTAGTCAATACGAGCATAGAGAAGCTTCATATATTTTGTATATTATATGAGTATTGAATCAAATATATTTCCAATAAAGGGTACTAAAGATGTTCATGCTGAAATTCTTATTTTATTTTACTTTATAATTGTATTTCACATATTATTTACTTGAATTGTTTATATTTGCAATGCACTTGACAGCTGACTGCAAGTTTTGAAGATGTGTATTTCCAATCAATCTTCCGATTGACAGGCTATTCTGCACACTTTAGACACACTTTAGAGTTTTCGGATTACTTTCTACGAGAGCAGACAAAAACTGAAAAATTATAAAAACTGTTTTTTTTTGTTATGAAATTAACAGTTTCAAGCGAAGAATTATGGGTATTATCGCAGACAATTTCATCTATTCACATATTCGATATGACTGGTCTCGCAAATAACATATGCAAAATTTTATCCTAATGGTCGACCTATACTGTGTACATAGCACAGTCTTATAAACATCCTTAATAATTCATTCTCACTACAACTACAGAATGAACATTGCTGAAATGTATTTAATGTATTATAAAATAATATTATTGAATATAAACAAAGCATTTTTTAAGTAAATTAAACTTAACAAAAATTTTTTTATTTATCTTTTTTATTTATACAAACAAAGAATTTTCCAAACAATGTTATCATTTTACGAGTTTAAATATATTTTCATTTAATTTTCGATGAGTACATTAAATTTTATGTACAGAATTCCATATGAATGCGTTTACTGAGAAGAAGTATATTTATATATACATATATATGTATATGTATATATACAAACCATTAAATAATAAATAAAAAACAAATTACAAAAATTAGCAAGTAATCACACTGCTTTCTGTCTACTTAACCTTGAGTTTTATAAAATGTATGCTGGGAAATTCTGTAAATGTTATATATATATATATATATATATATATATATATATATATAT